TGAGCGGCAGAGCTTGCAATGTCACTGAATGGTGATTAATTTGCTCATCAGGAGATCACAAAGTCACTTATATATCGTTTCATACCTTCTTGTAAATAATCTGCAAAGCAGGCTGATTCAGTTCTATTGAGAATCACTTGCCTACTCGATAGTCAAAATCAGCTCATCAATAAGGCATAGGGAGTGGAAGGTCAAAAATGGTCTTACATGTCTATCCTTCCACTGCTTCAGATGGGGAAGTTTAAAGTACTCAAGCTTTAGGTTTAGAAACATGACCATTTAAATCCTTTAATCCTACAGTTGACATTTACGGGGACTAGAAAGATTATTCATTTTGCTATCCAAATAACTCATTTTGAGCAGCTAGTATTTAAAAGCAATAGACTTTGGAGTCATATTACATTAGGATAGAAGTTGCAATTAATGTTTCAGATTTCTGAAGTCTTAGAAATGTATCCCTGACAGTGTTTAATATCTTAAATAATAAAATAAAATTGTCGAAGCATATATATCACTGTTTCAGGTCTCTCTTTCGCTGAATGGTGAGACTTTTCTAGCACCTAAATCTAAAAGTCCTGGGAGTGGCAGCTGAACAATCGCTATGACAGAGCCGCACAGTGTAACGTACTGTACACGGCTTTGCTTTACAGCAACCTGGTATTAGTGATCCAGCATATTGTAAAAGAAAGAAATTATTTTTCTTTGCTTGTCTGGTAAATTCAGCCCCTCTTTTCGCAGCTCCAAGGAGTTATTAGGGCATTTAGTCTAATTTAGGTACTTAAGTATTCCAGAGGAGTAAAGGTACAAAACCATGTGTACAAGTACTTTCTCCTGCAAAACAGAAAGTGGTAGCATGAAAATAAATTAATGTTGAGGCTTGGTTGACAATGAATTGTTCTAATTGGTAAACACGGTGAACTCATTCTCACTGCAAGCTAGAAAGACCAAATAGCTTTACCTGCAGGCTAAACCATAGTTGACTCGAGCTTTCAAAAAGCAAAAATTTAACAAAACCTGCACTACCTCATCAAGTCTTCTCTTAGCAAAAGGTGTCCTGCAGTTCACCTTTTCAAATCACACAGGTCACACACAGTGCTGTGATTATTTTGTATGAAAATATGAACACACACAAATCTGCAGTACATCCTGACACCTGTGCTAATGGGTCAGACTCCCACTCTTATGTAAAAACTCACTGGTGTGATACGTGGATCACCCTATAGGATCACTGTACTATCCTGCAACAACAGAATTTTTTGAAATACAATAACTCCTTAAAGAGGTACTGTATATTCCTCTCTTCTCTTTAACATGTATCTGACGGTAAATAATATAGTTTTTGCATGCCTCTATTTTTCTTACAAACTTAATGTGCTTGTATAAAAGTTTTTCAGTTCTTGTGAGTCCAGGTTTGATTCATGATCTCTTTTAAATTATATCATATTGTTATACTATTACTTAAAATTCTTTTTTTCCAAACGCAACTTTAAAAACACCACTTTCTGTATTTCTACAATTCTTCCCTCCCACTCCATAGTCAGGTCACAATTTCAGGTATTTTTGCATAGCAGTCTCCTATGTACATTATATCACTTCACAGAGCAGTTTGATTTTGTAAACAGGAATTTCTTTCTGTACAACAGAGAAATTCAACTTTATACAGTCAGCTTTAATTCTGAATTCAGCAAGAAATTTGGGCATATTCCCAAATACAAGCATTTAAGTTGCTGAATTCACTTAGAGATGTTACACATTTAAATCAGGCTGCTCATTATAGTTGGGATACTTTGAAGCATAATAAAATAAATCTCTTCTTCCTCCCTAACACGTAAACAGCAAACAATCATATCATCGCACCTTGGAAAGTAAATAGTCTTTCATGGTGTTTCATCCATTGTCAAGGATAACATTAGGTATCTTATTAAACATGCAATATAAAATTGACTATCTAGCTTAAAAATACTTTTAAAGAAAAAAAGCTCATGGTCTTCATTTATATGGCTAGGTGCTGAGTTTAATTACCCAGGGGCTTACCAATTTTTTTAAATCTTATGAGGGGATTAACAACAAAGTGAAAATAAATAACTAAATTAGAAGTTCTCAAAATAGTAGGCTAAATAATCCTCGTCTAGAGAGTTTAAAAAGAAAACCAGTCTTGCAACAGATGAAGGAACTTGAGAAGAAGGGAAGGAGATCACAGTAGGTCTTATCTCTCATTGATATTAACTAAAAGCATGTTGCCTAGATGAAGTTACAATTTCCTGAAGCGAAGCAGACCTGCTCTTCCAGTCTTGTCAACTGGGTTTCAAAATTAACAAGATAATCCCAGTTATATAGCAATTTCATGTTCAAATATTTTAATATGTTTTAAATGCTGTTTTTAGAATTACAAGGACAAACATATGCATTTTTAGGCTCTTATTTCTATTTATGCAATTAATCTCAAGCAACAGAGACTCAACAGACAAGGAAAAAGATTCTGTGACTGGAACTGACAATTGGAGAACATCCTCTCCACAAGCAAAGATCTTCTGGGAGAAAGCTACCACTGAACAGGGCACACCCACATCCTATAGCAGCATATCTTTCTGAATTCCTACCATAGGCTTTTGGGAAGCAGGAAGCGCAGAGACGTGTACTGAGACAACTCAGGAACAAGAGGTGGGAAAGTCCTGATCCATTAGCAGAAAGCTGTGAAGGGCTTTACCCCAAAGCATCAGCCATAAAAACATGGTGACATTTTAAAATTGTGCCACATTTGAGAGACTCAAGAAACTTACATAACTGCTCCAGTAGCTTTCCAGTAGACACTGGACATTTGATGTTGTTATTTTACACAGTCTGGGCAAAAACCAAATGGAAACCCTGGTCATGATTAATTTTAAAAATTAATTTCCAATTAAAGGCATTTATTCAAACTTGCCTTTTTTGCTTATAGATTTCCTGTTGATTTAGCAAGCTAGAATTTAATCAAGCTGTCTAAGCCATGTATGAGCACTATTTCTAGACAGAGGGGGGGGGTGGAAATAAATACGGGGAAGCGTGTTTTATATATTATTTAAAAACCTTTGGAATGACCTTGAACACCTTTTCCACAAAATGCTTCCAATGCCAGAAGCAGTAAATTCTCTCAGTCAAAGATGAATCAAAGGAACACACTATCTAAGACTGCAAAACAAGCCCTTTATAACCTGACCCTATCAAACCTGCAGGTAGTCCCCAAAGGTGCTAAACCAGCACGCATTAGAGGAAGCCAATAAGCCATACAAAAATAACTGAAAGGACAATGAAGAAAATCAAACAGGCACAGATGACAGTGGTGAGACCACTGAAAGGTGAAGAGGACACTACACATCCCAGATTGCCATTTTAGGCCTATAGACATGCAATAGATTGCATATTGAGCAATAAGTATTAGCTAATATTATGTGCTTTTCTGAAGAAAATGAAAAGGAAAAAATCTCCAGGCCCCAATACAGCATCATATGTGATGTGCCAGGCCATGTAGCTTCTTCCATTTCGTTATTGCTATTTAAGAATAGTACTCTATTCAGGCAATGGTTTATGAATTCATTAAATAAGTAGTGCCTATTTCAATATAATTCTGTCACTAGTACTAAGAAAGTGTCTAGTACAGGTCTTGGAAAACTTCCTCTTGATTTTACCTCATTACAATAATGAGATCAACTAGAAAGTTGTGATGACCTGAAGTTTCAACACATCACAGAAACCAAAAAATACACAACAGAAAGCAGACAGACTACAGTAGCAGCAAGCCTCAGTTATATGAGCCTAAGAGAAATATTTTTATTTCCCTTGCAAACATTTGTAGGCAAAAAGTCAACACCATCTGCCCAGCCCTAATTCTAATGTAAAGTTATTCTACTTGGAACAAAGAAAAGCCATCAGCGGAGAAAATATTTTTAAACATTTCTAAAATTAAAACTAAGGACTTCCTCACAAGGCAAAAGCTTTCTTCTTCTACCTCTAAATCTATTCTTGTTTCCTCATAAAACAGAAGAGAGCTTTATACAGAAGACAGAGGTGTAGATGTACACAGTACTTGGCCTAGCTTTATCCTTTTAGATAGCTGGGCTTCAGCACTCCTCATGGTTCATTACTTTTTTTGTTTTGACCCTCCTTATATTACTGGAACCAAGTGCAATCTCCCAGAATTACTGAAGTCCAAAGGGACCTCTTGAGATCACCTAGTCCAAACCTTCTGCTCAAGTATGATCAGCTACAGCAAGTTGCCCACAACCATATCCAATCAGGTTTTGAGCATCTCTGCGGATATTTAGATCTCTCATGTCTCTCCAGTCCTGGACTCAGAAATTCAAGAATGAGCTCCAGCAACCCGTTAGTATCTGGTTAGATATCAGATATCTACTAAACAAATAATGCCCCAACAAACCCAAACGCATGAATCATGAACTAATTTACCTCACTCACTGTTCAATGCTCTGTCACCGCTCTTTCAAGCTAAATAAAAGATAAAGGCACTGAGCTAACGTATTATTTGTACATTCATTCACACATACTACGTTTCCCCAATCCTGCTCATGGGGCTTGGCCTTCTTGGAACAGTTGTATTTGTTTATTTTTATTAATTTTGAAGCTATTTACATTTTAGGTATATTGAAGAGGCAAACTTTTGGGCAATCTGTTAACGAGTTGAATTTATGCTGGGGGTCGAGTTTTTAAACTGTAAGGCCTGAATGCTTCACCCTCAAGTCTGCAATCCTGTCACTGACCTATCACCCAACACGGGCAATTTACTTAACTTTCCTCTGCATCGTATATTATTTATTTCAAAGATGGTATACAATGCAGTCTCATTTTTGTAAAACATTTAGAGAGATACAAGTCAAGCATACTATGTGTGTAGAGAATTACTAAAAGTAATGAAACTAGTATAATAACATACTCTTCCTGCAGCAAGAATGCCTTGTTATCACTACTAAAGAATTATATGCTCTGAATTAAAACATCTTGCCTACCTTGTCTGGAATACTCATCTGCTTCTCTGTGGACCAAGTCTTTTACCCGGTTTCCATACAGCAACCTAGAGGAATCATGATCAAAAGCTTTCAAGGTTTCACTGGAGCTGTAAGACTTCTGCGTAGGCACTCTGCACTCCTCATTTTCTGCGGAAGAATTTGTATAGCGCCGCTCTTTGTCCCGTCTGCTCTTTGTCAGGGAGCAATAAGGCCTACGTTCCTTCACATCCATACTTCATTCCTTCTCTGTGCACATCAGTCCAGCTTATTTGGAAGTCTTCTCTACATTCAGCTTACATTCACCTATAACAAAATTAGAAAGACAACCACTGATGTGTTACAATGTTCTCTAATTGCTGTGATTGCTTCCTGACTGTCTGGAAGAGATAGAAATATCTAATCAACAACGGGTGAGACGCTTCTGTAACGTTTGCAAGACTCCCCAGTTTCATGCATGAGCTAACTTGATCAAAAAAATAAGCAATTAAATTCTTCTGAATAACAACACAATGCTTCTCATTTTTATATAACAGATTAGAAGATCAAAAGCAGACTGAAAATTGGGTGGAAAAAAAGCAGCTTTTCAGCTTTAAGAATGGGTTACTTGCCTAGTCTATTTGTAGGTAAGTTGTTTTCTCTTTTTCTGACAAGGATGCATACTTTAATAGCAAGTCTGACTTCCTTCAACTTGTCAGAAACTTCTGGTTTTAATGTCTGGTGTTTACATACAGACTTCTATAACTTTTTATTGTCATTTCTATTCTAAGAAAACTCTTCTCATCAAGAACGTACACACATAATTTCACAGCAAGGTACAAAAACATAGATGATATGCAGAAAGACTTCTCCAAGGCAGTATATTCTATATAACTTGTGCTAGAAAACAAGTAACTATTTGATTTGTAAATGGCAGTCAGAAATATTTTTCCTTCCCTCAAGTTTTTAAGGAATATTACAATAAGAATCTTACATCTATTACTATTTGGTTTTCTTTACCGTTTCATTCCACTTAGTTTTCAAACAAGGTTTCTCAAGTTCCATCTCTTGGGTCCTGCACACTGCACCAAAATATCTATATTTCTGACAGAGTAAGAAATAGTTTGGAAATTTTGCTTTTGTTTTTTAAAGAAGAGTGCTAAAGCAAAAGAAAGAATATAATTTTATCTTTAAAAAGCTGATGAAACATCTAAATGAGACATTCAATACATTTTAATACTTTGCAACTGCACCTGTTAACTGAGGCCTTGGTGTTTCTTGTTTAACACCTTATATATAAGGGTTCTCTCCTTTGTATCAAGGAGAACTTTCTCCTGGGTGCTTGCCTCAATTTAAAGTACTTAAATACCACAACTGATTATTTTATGAAGTACTATCAGCCAAGTCCTTTGTGATGAAGAAATAAAATGACAGTTTACAGCACATACGACAAAGCAACTGCCAACTCCATTTGCACTCTGTTCAGAAAAAAGGGGTTGCTTTAGAACTCTTCACCTATTTCATATGAAATACTTAATATCAAGCAAACTAATTAGTTGTCACTCCTGAAAAGATTTTTAGAGAGTATTTAATTTACTACAGAAATGTAATTCAAGTTTGTGAATGGCAGCCAGTCTTTCAGCATTGTTTTGAAATTCTCAAAAAAGCTCTTGCATTTCTTGACCTGTGTGAATCTCAATTTAGACTAAAAGACAAAGCTACAAAGCTTTCTATTTAAGAAAACTCCCTTCTTTACTTATATTTTCAAATGTTAAGTGGTTAAAAAGAAACCAAAATATTTGTACATGATCACAAAACCCGCAGTTCTATAACGGAATAGTTTATTAAATTTATGACTATTTAGATGTCTGCATGCTCATGCAGCACCTTTTTAGATTATAGGAAACACTCAGATTTTAAAATATTTGATTGACTAATGAATGCAAGTTTTTCCCATGTAAAAACAATTTTCTAGACATTTTATAAACTTCGTGTTTTATTAACACTAATCTGAATTGTGATTTTAAAAATCATTACGAACAGATACACATAGGTATTCTTTTGCAGCATAAAGACTTCATGTGGAAGTCTATCTCCCTTCTCATCTAAGCGTTTCAAGAATTTAAAGGGCCTCTAATTCCTAATGTCTCTGAATTGTGTCATGGGAAAACTGACATACACTATTCATCATCAAAGATGAAATGATTTTGATTTTTTTCAAGTTTCCAAGCTCCTTTATAATGTAAAAATAAAACACCCAAAACCCCAAACCCTTCTTTGCACAATACTTTGTTACTGTACCAAGCTAAAATCCTCAAAGATTTAATCTATGCTGTAGCATGAGGAAGTACTGATCTGCATCCCACGGAAGGGAATGCATTCAATGAATTCAATAAAACTTCAAAAGGCAGTTTTCTGGGTTATCTATTGCCTCTCCAGGCAAAGAACGAAAAGGTTAAAAAAAGTACAAGCTGTTTAATAGCACCACATTACCAAGACACTTTACAGTGATTACACTGCCATGATAATGAGACTAGTGGATCTTTTGTGGGCATTTAAAAACAAAACAAAACAAAACCACAAACAAAACCACAAACAAAACCACAAACAAAACCACAAACAAAACCACAAACAAAACCACAAACAAAACCACAAACAAAACCACAAACAAAACCACAAACCACCAACATTGAAACAAAACACCCCACATTCTGTAAGATTTAAGAACATAATATTTTTCAATCTGGCATTATACAAAACACCTGTTTACCTTCAGTAACCTTTAACTGTAAAAATTAATAGTATCTCTCAGCAAGTTTTAGGAAACACTTAACATCCTCATGCCTTTGAAATTATTTCATCAGTTAATTAATACACATATCTGAAAGGAGACAGAATAAAAGCTATCTTACAGACCTGTCTACGATTAAAGGTTCTCTACCATGATCAGAACACAAACAGAAAGAGAGACATATTTGCAGAAAACAGAAATAGATATCAGTGTTAATGTTTAAGTCATAAGCCAGCAATGACTAGTCAAACAAAGGAAGACTTGCAGATGGCTTTACAAGATCTGAACCAGAAGTCTTATTACTGCAGTGGGATCTTTTATAGTCTCAGGACTGTGTAGGACTTACTTGTCCCATGGTGAATTCTCCCTCCCTTTTTTAAAAAACACCCCTTACCAACAACTATAAACAAATATTTTCAATTCTTGAGAAAAACATTTTAAGGAAAAAATCCCAAACTCTCAGTTACTGCATCTGCTCAGCTCCTTTCTCATATGGATTACTGTAGTTAAAATATTAACAAGTTTTCCTACTCAAACCTTCAGAATTAAATGAACCACTGTTGAACAAATTTGAACTTGCTTAATTTTTTCTTCTCCTCTGTTTCCTGTAACATAGGACCTGCATCCCATGGAGAGATACTCAAATGCACTTACTAACTTTCTTTTACTATGCCTTAGAAGAAACTCAGATGAAATATTGGTAATGAGTACAATACAAACTCAAGGGAACACAGCAACTAATTTGATGCATGAACAGTTTTTTTGACAAATCAGATTAAAACTTTAAACCAAATAAAATTTAATTTATTTTATGACATGTCACAAACCCACTTGCCTTCATCTGCAAGTAATTTTTGCCCATATGTCAATATTTATGGTCCATTGAATAGCTTCGCTCCAATTAAATGAAAGAATTTTCATAGAGCAATATTTACAAAGCTATCGAACTAACTCACCCACTCACAAAAGGATGTCAAAACAGCCGTGCTAAATACTGTTACATGTCTTATTACAATGCTGACGTGAAATGGCCTGCACATACTGAAGAAAAATCGAAAAAGATTTCGCTAGTGCATGCCACTACTTCAAGCTCCTGTCTGATGCCGTTCTAAGTACAAAAACTGAGGATGCTCATCTGTGTCACTGAGCACTGGGATCTCCCGTGACCTTTTCAGTGATCTGTCCAATGTTACAGGCTCCTGGCTGGACTAAACAGGAGAGTGTATGCTAATCACCAGACTGACATGTCAGCTTCTATATAGTTATGTCTATCCCATATGTGTACATAGCTTAGCTGATTGCAGCCTGCGTTTTCCCAGTGTCACTCCAAATTTTAAAACCAATTCAAAACTGTAAAGAGGAGATGCCCGTTTTTAAACTAATACTTAAATATCTCTCAATTTAGAAGGTAAGAAAGAGAATCAGAGAAGCATTTCTTGTACATGAGCAGGTCATTGGGACCACAGAGCTCATTCCCTGATGTGCCAGGCTACTTCAAAGACTTCTGACATCATTAGCACATTTAGCTCAATATTTAATTACCAAGTCAGATAAGGTACATACAAATAATAAGTAAAACAAGTAAATTATCAAAATTCTTTCTTTTACTGTAAGTGTTGTAGAGAGCAGGAGGCATATTCACATATAAGTGTCAAAGCTACCACGGGAGCTTTGATGACTGAAATCTCAGATACAGACGAAGCTGACTGATGTAGCAGTTTCACACTGTATTTAAAATTCCCCCGGACAATCTTTCAGCAGTTCCTCTTAATCAGCTATTGCAATGCAAAATAAAGTCACTGTAGCGGAAAGGAAAAAACCAGTTACTTACCTTTTTTACAACAAAAAGCCTCAACACTAAAGCCCTACACTGCAACATACAACAGGTGCAACAGACATAAAACATAGTATATATTTTAATAGTCAAGATGTAAATGACCTTTTAGGGTCATGCTACAGAGTGTTACCTAAAACACTCAGCTACGACTTCAGCACACCTGCTGGCCTTTTAAACTGTTACAAAAAATTATTGCATTTAATTCAGCAGCTTCAACTCTGAGTTCCCCAAAGGGTTATTATAGTTTGGCAACAGGATGGCAATCCTGCCTAACGTACACAGTGTTCCCTCCCCATCTTTCACTCAGAGAATCTCTTTCCAGCATTAAAGCTGGCTTAGTGAACACTAAGGTAACTGATTAAGAAGTCCAAATATACCCCAATATTTTATGCCCTTTGATATCTAAACAGCTACATAGGCACAAAGTAGTAAAGTGGTAAAAAATAAAACATGTTTGTTACCAAAATAAAGAGATAATTGTATAGAAAAGATTATGTCACTGCTTGAGTCGATTTATGGATCTACTAAAGTGTGTATTATATTACCTTTCAATGTGTATAGTCATTTTAAACATCTCAAAACACACAAAGCAAAAATAGAATTAGTTCTGAGAATAACAAGAGCAATT